CAATATGCCAATTTAATTCGATTTGATAGCAATGCACTTTATTTTTATTAATTAAACAGGTTGACATTCTCGACTTTTAGAGCATAAGCAAAAGGTAGTAAGAATTTAAGCGATAAAAGAGAAAAAACAAAAGAATCGTAAAAAACGTAAGCTTACCAAAAGCAAATCACTGCCACCAAGCCGAGGAGCGATAAGGCTGGCAGCCGAAAAACGCCAACAGGTGGTGTCAAGCAGGTATGTAGCTATGTGTAGTTAGGCAATGACAATAGGTACATATGAATGTAGGCAACAGGCTTGCCTTGTGCTCAGCAACCCCTACTGAACATGGAAATTTTAAGGAAGCCTTCACAAGCGTTTACCTGTTTCTTTACCTTTTCTTACTTGCGATGGTAATTTGATATTTACTACTTCGAGATTTGGTAAAAGTGGAGTTGTGTATGAAAAAAATTAAAAAAAAGTATCGATTTATTTGATTTGGTCCTTTCGCGTCGAATTTGACCGGTTTTCGGATTATGAAGGAATAAAATGTGGCTCAGTTGAAACATTTCATGGCGTAAAAAAAAATGTGATTAAAAAAAATCGTTATCAAATTATGATACTGAATTTGAATGAAAATAAAAAAATATTTAATTTTAATAAATTATTAAACTTTTTTTTACAAATTTTTCCCAACTACTTATCTAATCTAAACACATTTTCTCTCAATAGAACAAGTCATAGAAAGAATTAGCTTCCAAAACATTTTGTATGAATTAATTAAAAAAAAAATAGCTGAAACATTTTATTAACTTTTAAAAACCCCATTTATTGGGTGACTTTTTATTGCTTTACTCTTTTTCATTTTATTTCCTCACATAATATTTTTTTTTCCTGCCCTCTGATTGGCCAAAATATACTATTTGCCTGTCTGCTTGTTGGCTATATGCATTGCCAGCGCCACAACCTACGCAAATTTTGATTGGCTTAGAGAAATCAAAAAAATAAAAAATTATTTTGTTAGTTTTCATTTTATTTATTTTGCCTGTTTTTATTATGTTTTGAATTTTATTTGTAAGCAATCAGATAATTTTTGTCAATTTTATTTTTTTTTTGCCAAGTGTTTTTGTGGCTGTATGTGGATAAATGTGTACGAATTTTTTAAGTAATTAATTTTTGTTTGTGTATAAAAATGTCTACTGCCTTTTGATAGGCGGAAATTTAAGGCCAAAATAAATGTTTATATAACTTCTGTAACTTCCTATTCATTTTTATGCGAGAACTTGAATGCCCATTCGTTAGTGATCTTCAGTAAAAAACAAAATAAAGTTTTAAAGAATTAATTTATTTATACTTTATATTTATTTTTTTCAAAAAAAAAAATGTTTTTAATCCTAATATTTTTTCTACCAAATAAATATTATTTAGTATTTTTTCAAAAAATAAAAATAAGAAACAAATTTGTTTTCTACAAAAACAATATTTTTTAATTTTTTCCAAAAAAAAAAAAACAAAAAAATTGATATTTTTGTTTATAGTTAAAAAAAATTTTTTGATCAAAAATTTCCTTAAAAAAATTACATTAACCTTAAAAGAGTCGATATTGTACGATCGCCTTAAATTATGATGTCCCAAAATACACTCACGATGACTATATTTTTTTTATTTGCTTCGAAATAAGTGTAGTTTGAAATAGCTTGAACACCTTTCCAAAATATTAAAGGCTCAACACGATCATGATTAATTTTCTACTGAGGATCACTCAGCTGTTCGAGTGGTGATTGTGCTGAAAATATGCTTGCCTTGGTGTACATTGATATTATTGTTTTTTAAGCTAATAATTAAATTGTTTATGCTTATTGTTTTAAAATTCTATATAGCTTTTTACAGTGGCTGGAAACAAAATAATAAAATAATTTTCGTTTATTTAATGAAAATAAATTCTTGATTTATTTGAAATAAATACACTTTTCTGCTACTTAAAATCATATAAATGTTTCGCTTTAAAATAAAAATATACCGTTATAACGGTTCCTTTATTTAAGTTAGTTTTTTCGTCGTAATACCATTTTTTTTTTGAGCATTATTGACAATTTTTCTTTGCTTAAGCAAAGAGAGTGAACTTAAAATTTTCCCGAAATTTTAATTAAAAAAATTTAAAACATTTAAATTTTCAAAAAATTTCGTTAATTTCTGTAAAGTGAATAAGTGATTAGAATCTTTTATTAAATATTATTTGCAATTATTAGAGATTTTCACTCTCTTTAATGCAATGATCACCGATTACATTAGATATTTTGCTGGTCTTCGTGTTTTTTCAGGCCAGAAAACAAATATGTAGGCAGACTTTTTAATAATTAGAGGAAGGCGGCATCACTTAAATGCTGCTACGGACAAGTTAAACGATCGCAAATGATTTATAGTTATTAATAAAAAAAATATATATATAATGAAATTTAAAAAAAAAAACTAATTAAAATAAAATGTATAAATAAATAAATAAAATTGTCAAGACATATTTATGAAACATTATATACATTAATTATATAAAATAGAGATGTTCATATGTTATATAATACACCTGCTTTGCCTGCCTACCAGCTTGTTAACACCTTAAACGGAAATAACGCAATTGTTGTATTGGCTTATTTCGTCTGTTGCCGTTGTTGCGCTCTCAGCCAATGGCAGTGAATGGCGCGCACTTTGACCAAGTACAAAATAAATTTAAAAAAAACAGACTTTTAACCAACACATATGTACATATGTATGTATGTGCTATAAACAATTAAATGGAAATACTCCAATTGGCATAAATGTATGTATATAGATATATATATAATATATGGCATTTAGTCTGGTGATTGCCGTTTTACCGACATACTTGTAGTATGTCTCAGTTTAATTAGCAATTTACGACGTTTTGATCATACGTGTATATTCTAGGAAATAAATATGTTTTATTATTACTTAAGTATTTACAATAACTATTACATCACAGATTCAAGTGTAATTAGTGTTGACTTATGAAAACTGCCAAGACTACTAACATAATAATCGCTTAGAATTAATCTGTATTTAATAGTAGCTATGTGTGTAATACAAATACGATCGGATTGAGCAATATTGAGTGATATATCAAGGTCAAAATATCCATTTGTGGGGGGGGGGGGGGTTTTATTTATAAAATTTATATTAAAAATTAAACGGAAAGATTGCTGAAAGGCTCTACAGGCGGAGGATGAGTCCTTTATTCTGGGTCTTTAGCTGGATAATATAAATTTTGTCCATATACAGAAGTAGATTCGAGTGAAAAAGTTTCAAGCATGTTCGTTGTAAGGCTTATTTCAATGTTTATCTCATAAATGAGCAATGATTTATTATTTAAAACAACTAATCATTTACAAGATGACTGAATCTCTTCTAATCTAGTAGCAAATGCAGTTATCTGAGGGGAGATTGCTTAGGCAAATATATATTTATTTTCCATATATTTGATTTTAATTTCTTTTTGTTTCTTTATTTTATTATTACTTTTTTTTGCATTTGTTGTTTTTATTATTGTTTAAATTTTTTACTTTATTTTATTTTGTACCATTTTATTTTAATTAATTTGATTTATTTTAATTTTCGCTTAATTCATTTTATTGTACATTATTTTTATTTCCTTATCAGACTTTATTTTATTTAAAACTTATTTTTTAATTACATTTAGTTTATTGATTTAAATTTATTTTGTTTCATTTGTCTCTTAATTTTTTCTCTTTACTTAATTTTTTTATGTTTTTTAAATCATGTAACTCAAATTTTATTTTGAATATTGTTTTTTTTTATTTATTATTATTTTAAAACATTTAGTACTTATTTTTTCAAATAAATTAATTTTATTTCCTTTTATTTTATATATATATATATATTTATATTATTATATATATATATTTTATTTATTTATTTTCTTTTTTTATTTTACTTTGTTTATTAAAAAGTTTCATTTTAATATTATACTCTTTTTTTTCTTAAAATTTTTTTTATTTTATTTTTTTGTATTTAATTTCAATATTTTGTTTATATTTTATTTCTTTACTTAATTTTTTTTTAAATATTTTTCTTAAATTTATTTCATTTGAATCAAATCGAATTTTTGATTTTTTTATTTAATATTATTTAATATCACTTCATATTATTTTTTATTTAGTTTATTTTAAATTATTTAATGTTAATTTTAATTTTTAGTTTTACTCCATTTTATTTTCTTCTATAATTGTTGAATTGATTTAATTTTTTTTGTTTTATTTAATTTTTTTTATTATTATTTTTTTTTAATAGTTTTATAATAAATTTTTTATCTTATATAATAGCATATATTTTAATTTAATTTTTTATAATTTTATTTCAAATCAATTTAATTTATTTAAGTTTTATTTTTTTTTTTGTTCTTTTTTTATTCGTTTAACTTACTTTATTTCAGTTTGTTTTTTTATATTTTTATATTTTATATTTTTATATATATTTGTATATATTTTTATATTTTATATTTTTAGTTTTTATATTCTAAATTAAATTTTTTTTATTTAATCTATTTATATTTATTCTACGTTTTCCTTTAATTTAGAATTTTCATTTCCAATAATTTATTTAGTTTTATTTTATGTTATATTCTTTAATTTAACTTATATTATTTTATATTTTCTAAATTATTTTATTATATTCAACTTTTTTATACGTATGATTTTAGTTTATTTAATTTTATTTATTTATTTTAGATGATTTAATTGTTTTAATTTTTTTTCTATCTTTTTATTTCATATAATTTTAAATCATTTCATTTCATTTTCCTTGTTTGAATTTATTCATTATTTTATAATGAAGTATTCATTTGATTATATTTTGTATGTGTGTACCTTGCAGCGTTTCTGACATAAACTTTAACGATTTTTTAACGTTTTCCTGTATAGTAACTAGATAAGTACGGGTGTAACCTATTGTTTATAGATTTACTTATTTTTTTAATTGTGCAAAACGCTTACCTTTCATGATGATCGCTGTTAATTCTGAAGCATTTAATTGCATAGAGAATTGATTCTCGCTGCTGCTACTGTTGTTGCTGTTGCTGTCGTCGTTAGCTGTCGCTGTAGCCGTTACACTTGCTGCTGCTGTTGCTTTTGTATTGGCCATATATTATTATTATCCAAATGTAATATGTTTATGTGGAAGTAATTGCAATTGTTTAACCGTTAAAACTATTAACTGTAGTTTTTCAATTCAATTTTTATTGTTATTTATATTTTTTATGATTTATTTTGTTGTTGTAATTTTTCACACAAACGCACTTATGTGGTTTTTTTTGACACAAATCCAACTTCTTGTTTTTTTGTGGTGAAGGTTAGCGTCCGATTTGTGGTGATAATATATTTAATGTTATGATATTATCTAATCTGCTGGTGATTAGTCTACAACGCGGTAGCGACTTGTTGTACACGTTGTAGTAATTATTGTTCTTATCCTTTTTAATTTTTTGAACAATATTTTATATGCAATTTTGCCGGCGGATCTATTTTTCACATTTGTTATGCTTGAAATTTTTGGTCAAAATCACTGCTTTTGCATCTTTATTTTAGGCAAAATAATATTTTATTTGTTTGCTGTTTTTACAGTTAAATATTATCTCATAATAATTATTTTTTATATATATTTCAGCATATATTTCTATTCAAATTTTGTAAAATTAACTCTCATTCCTGTGTGCTAAAAACACTTTTTGGGATGCTTTTTGTTTCAACTCAATTTTTATTTTTCAAAATCATGCGTTTGCAAGACCACAAAACGTTAAGATTTTGCAAAAACAATTACACTGCTGGCACCTGCGCGCTTTTTAATATAAATCGTTTTATTGCTTCTTCACAAAGAATGCTTATTTAGGCATGGTGTATGTATGTATTTAAACAAAAATTTTGAGAGCCACACACGATTTTAAATTCACTTTATTGCATTGCTTGCACGGTTAATGATATTAATAATTCTTATTTTCAGTTTTTCTTTGCTTTTCCCACTTTCTCTCACGCTCACTGCAAATAACTCCTGCGCGACTGTCACTTTTATTAGAATTGACTTTTATTTAAATTTTTCCAACACTTTTAAGTTATTATTTATTTTTAGTCAACAACAAATGAATTGTAAAACCTTCGCACTTAATTTTTTTTTTTTGCTGTTTTTTATTTCGACCTTTTTTATTGTTATGATTTAATATTTTTGCTTCAACCAACCAAAAAATTTTGCCGCTCCGTTCTCATGCACACACATCCGTTAACAAGCGAGGTAGCGAACCGAATGATACACCAAATTCAGACGCTTCGAACAACAACCCAACAATGATAGCCCGATAGTGGCGAAGTGACGAAGGCATAAAACCAACGATTACGACTGCTCTGCTGCACGAACTGCATGCATATGAGCACGATGATCCAGCAGCAGCGGAAGGTGGCAGGCAAGCAAACAGGCCGCCTGGCACACACAAGCAGGGCTGGCAGAGCAAACCCGGCAGAGAGTTCCTCATTCATTGGTTGTCGTTTTCAAGCCATGTTGTGTTGTCTTGCATTGCTTGTTGGTGGATATTGCATTAAATGTTTGTATTTTTTTCTTCTTTTGAGAGACAATTGGCAATGAATCGAATTCCCAACTCGTTGTTGTGGTTGTGGCTGAGACTGATCTGATCGTTGGTTGTTTTTACTGCCGGCGCGAATGTTAAATGTTGTTTGTATGTACGTCTGTTTTTATATATGTAATAAACAAAACAAAATTTTGCAACAAATATATCGAATTATCGTTTGATTTAAGAGATGTTAAATGTGTTATGCGATAGCAGCAGAAAATGAGCAATGGTAATGTGTGTCTTATTACTTGGCGCTCATTTGGGTGGGCGCTATTAGAAAATAAAGTAGATCAATTGGTTCGTGTGTGTGTGTGTGTATTTATGTGTTGGTATTTCTAATTGTACCCGTAATTAGTACATTTATTTTTTTTTTTTAAATTGGCAGGAGAGTTCAGTGCGCGGTTTAGGACTCAAAAGAGAAAGTCAGAGAAACAAGTTCTCTGGAGAACTTGCTAAAAGTTCTCTGTTTAAGTATGATGTTCATGTTCGAAGCAAACATGTTTGAGCACGAAAAATTAAACAAAACACTAACTTCAAACTAATGTATATGATGTAAAATCAATTGTTTTTTTTTATTTTGTTTAATTTTTATTTACTTGATTTTATTTGACTTTTATTTTATTCTGCTCATATTATTTGAATTCATATTAATATTATATATTTAATTTTTTCAATTTAATACAATTGTTGTTTTTATTTATTTTGCTTTATTTTTTAATCTATTTTGCATCTTAGTGCATTATCTTTTATTTTTATTTTTGATATAGCAATATTTCTTACTTGTTTATTTCTTTTGCATTTTTTGTTTGTTTTTTTTCTGTTTTTTTTTTCGTTTTTGTTTGCAAGTTGTGCTATTATTTTAAGTTATTTACAATTTACTTTACTTGATATGATTTAATTACTAAATTCAATCATTAATTTAATTAAAATAAATTTTTAGTCATATACCTAATATGCTTCATATTTTTATTTAATTTTATATTCTTTAAATAATGTATTATTTATTATTCATTTATTTTATTTATTTCAAAATATATTATTATTATTTATTTAGTTGTGTGTGTCAGTAAGTTATTTATTTACAGTTTATTTTGCTTGATATTATTTAATTACTCTTCCTTCAAGTAAAATATATTATATTTTGTTATATAAACAATATTATTTTATTATTCCACCCACTTCCCCATTTAAATGTCCATGTCAAAAATAAAGCGTCGCTCAAACATGCTCACAATTTGTTCGCTCTCAGCCAATTACACCACCCCAGCCCGGCAACTGATTCCCTTTCAACAGATGCTATTTGCTTTTGCCATTTTGCTTCACCGTATTCGGTTTTTATGAATGAAATCGTATGTTTTGTTGTTGCGCTACTATATTTAACAAAAAAAAAAAAAAATAAATTATCGCATGCTATAAATAAAACTACTTTCGCATGTTCGTTAAACTACAATTAGAGTGCATGCGTACTAGAAGAACAGTCAGTGAACCTATACCATGCATACGATTGTATTTAACCACAAAACACTTATCGTTATGACGAAGAGAAGCGAATAATAATAAAGATAACTTACTTAATTTCTTCGTGTGTTTTGTAATTCATATCATTTTTTATTTATTGTTTTTAACTGTAGATAAGTTCGCCACATTTGTCACCTGAATGTTTATTTTCACTTTTTGACTTTGAATTTGAACTATGGGAAGAAGTAAATTTTGAATTGCTCATGCACGTATATATGTATGTATGTATGTATGTATGTGAGTAGTTCTATGCGATAGTTCCAATATTATTCGCTGTAAATTCTGAATATAAAATATTTGCGTATTGGGATTTAATTGAAATAATTTTATACTTTCTTTTATCAATTCGTTAGATGTGTCATAAAATTCTTGATTATTTAATGTCTTCTTTCGTACAGAAAAATAAATAATTAAAATTACGCAGCTCTACTATAATTAACTCTTTCTCAATTTAGCTTTTATTATTTTAGCTTGTTCTTATATACATACATAAATACATATACAAATATATATGTATATGAATATATAGTTAAGTGATAATATGCTGCCTAAAGTGGGAGCCGCACTAGGCAAAATTTGAATATTTGTGATAAAACTTTAAACTTTAAACTTGAGCAGCGAAGTTATAAGTTCTCAAAGTGCAAATTTATTCAATTTTTTTTTTTTTTTTTAATAATTTTACGTTCATTTAAATTTATTTAATCTCAATTTAAATTTACTTAAATGTTTTTTTATGTATTATATTACTCAATTTTTTTCTTAATTTCTGGTAATTGTACTGAAATTAGGCTCTAGACTTTAGTTAATTTTAAATTCTGTTCAAATAAGTTTTTATATTTTTTTAATTTTTCAATTTTAGTTTTTAATTTTTTTACTTTATTCAGTTTTTTTTTTATTTATTTCATTGGCTATCAGTTTATTCTCTTCTATATCTTTTGTTTGTATTTTTTTTTTTTAAATATAATTTTAGTTTTTTATTTTACTTACGTTTTATTTTGTTTTTTGTATATATTTTATTATAAAGTTATATTTTTATATCTTAATTATATTTGGTTAGTTTTTATGGTTTATTATATAAATTAAATTATTAGTTTTGGTTAAGTTAATTGAAATTTAAGTATTTTTATTTATATATATATATTTTGTTATTAGTTTTTTAATTTAATATAATTTTTTAATAAATATTATTTTATTTTAAAATAGCTAGGCTTTTTTCATTTTATCGTTTATCGTTTTTTAATTTTCGTTATTTATTTAATTTTTTTTTTTAATTGAATCTTGTTAATTTTATCACATATTGCTTTTTTATTTAAAATTTATTTTAGATCTTTTTTATTATTTTTTTTTTTAATTTTTTCTTTCGTTTAATTTATAATAATTATATTTAACTAATAATTTTCTTTATTTTAAAATGTTTGTTTTATTTCACTTATTATTTACTCCGTTTCACGTTAATTTATTTTATTCTAATTCTTTTTATTTTATTTTAATTTACATTGTGTTTTTTCTTTTTTCCCTTTATTTTAGTTTTATTATGTTCGAAATTATTAATCAATTTTGTTTTATTGACTTTATCTTAATTTATTTAATTTTAATTACATAATTTACTTGACTTTGTTTTATCTTAGTTGTTTAATTTTATTTAATAATTTTATTTTTGTAGTTTAATTAAATATTTTTATTAAAAAGTATTTATTTTTTTTTATTTATTTTATGTTGTTTTATCTTAATTTAATACATTTTATTTTATTTAATGCTATTTTACTTAAATTTATTTATATAATTTAATTGATTTTATTTTATTTATACAATTTGATGGGTTCAAATCGTGGTACGACCAACATTCAAAAAATATGACAAATGAATTTAAATAAAAAAATTAGGTTAAATTTTCTATTTGCGGTCGCCCCTCGGCAGGGAATGTATTTTATATGTGTATTTTATTTTGTTTTATTTATTTTTTTATAATTTTAATCATTTACTTTAATTTAAATTTATAATTCATTAA